CCCGGGGGGTATGCTGGTGGGGATGGTAGCAAGCGGAATTGAACCACGCATTATAACCGGAATAAAAAAAACGTTTCGAAACCAGCTATAGCTGCACATGTTGATTGAAATAGGTTTTACATTTACTGGTAACTAAGCTTTAAAACATGACAATAAAACAAATTCAAAACAAGGAAAGCTAGATGTGGCTTATATCCGAGGAGCTTATAACCGGTTGTAATTTTTGGTTTCAGGTAGACGAGCTATGTACAATTTTGTTACTTTTTTTTACGAGGAAACTGGCTTTCAACGTGTGTTGACTTCGTATCGTCTCGAAATTTATCGGAGGTCTTTAGTCTGCCGCTTGCACTGCGAACGCATTTGCCATATGCAAAGAGACTTCCCAGCAAACATCGGAAGCTTGCGCTTTTGCGCGCGAAAGTTAGAATCCGGTAGTTCGTTATTTATATTTGTAGGAGGAAAACGTTAGAACGTGCACTCTATATAGAGCTGGACATTACGGCAATCCTTGTCGCCAAAAATGGATGGAGAAGATTTGACTAATCTGCAGATGAATACCCTTTTAAACCATTTTACCACCTATTACGTACAGTTACGTCGTGACGAAAAGAAGGAAGCCTTAAGCTCTTGGAAACCGATTGTGGAAGCCGTTCTCGCTTACGTGAGGGAGAGAAGTCGGGAGAGAAACGATTACCTCGCCTCCCTTCAAAATCTTTATAGTGGAAGCTCCTATGAGGGGACGAAAGTTGGAGAGCCAGATGAGTTTGATTTAATGTTAGTCATGAAAAGCGCGGTATTCCGCGAAGTCAAAGAACTTCCTGGTGTAAACAAACCTCCGACAGGTGGGTTGAATAATTTGATAGGATTCCAAATGATTCTGGGATTAGCCCAAGATCACGCAAGATCGCTATATTGTATATTGCCTCCTCAGAATTGAAAAACCAAGTACAGTGTACGCATGTGTTTAGCGCAAGTGACCCATTTTGATTCATAATTACAGCAATTCGTTTAATTTAGCAGTAAGTTTTGCAAATTCGAACAATTCAAAGCACTATTAGAAACGCACTATTAGAAAGTTTAACGTTAGCTCTCTACAGGACGAGGGATGTATGCGTTGTTCTTGCTGTTTATCTATGTAGCTAGTTGTTAAATAACTATTAGGTGATAATATTACGATAGTATTTATCAACAAATAAGTTTTTTTTAAATTCAATTTTAATATTTTAATATTTTCTTAAGTTTACTAAATCTTAGGTGAATACATTTTACTTTATATTTTAGTCTCCCCAATTAGTAGAGCACTTGTGCTCAGCTATTAAGACTGAGACTTAAATAAAGTTGTCATTCATTCATTCAAATCAAATAGCCCTGAGTGACTACTATGTGAAAGGAGAAGGTACGCTTGCAGACGTCTCGTTTTGGGGGTATAATTGGCCAACTTTAGCATCACTTGGATGCTGAAGAAAAAATGCCAATGCATAACCCACCAAGGTTGTGCATTTATGAAAATTAAAAAGTGTTGTCAAACCGTGCTGAAGTTTAGATTAATCAGGAGTGAAATCTTTAAAATTTCTTCATATATGAATTCAGCACTCAGTGAGACAATGACAATGCCAAATTAGACCCAATTACTGCAGTTATATATTTTAGCTGTTATTTATGTGTATATTTTAGACTGGCATCTGTTAGGGGTCAAATATAGCTTAAGCCATGGTCTCGTTCAGAGTTTTAATCCCAATTTTCCAACGAGTATCCCCACCCCTTTAACATGCCAGGCCTGCTTGACCAGACAAAATGCTGCTTTTTTATGGACTAGTTGACCAAATAAGACCAAGCTTTTGTTTGCTGCTTTTTGCAGGATTCACCATAGGAATATTGACTACTCGTGAGAGTGAGAATCCTTGTTGTGCCAAAGATGTCAAAGCAGATTTTGCAAAGCTTGTTAAGGAAGCCATCCTGCAAAATAGTTTTGAGTAAGTCTGATTCATCTAAAAGGTGTAATTAGTTCAAATAAATCTTAGATGAAGAAGTTTCCAATTTGCCATATGAGGTAAATCTCATTTCGCAGTTGCTTGTGGGACTGCTCCTGGTGGCAGTATGGCTTCTCGTCATTTGTTTTACTCTTACTAGCAGTAATCTGACATCCAGATCTCACTGTTTGATGCCTGGCCATGGGAGATCTGGGTTCTAGCGGCAGACTTGCCCTTGATTTCTTCTCATTTCTAGGATGGCAAACTAGTGGCAGTCTTTTAACCCTAAGCTCTTTGTCATCCTCAGAGACACCTGTTCCTCTAAGGTGGCAGGGCTTGGCATGAGGAAAAGGTTGCTCTGAAGACACATGTCAGAGGTCAAGATTCTCACATACAGACCAACTAAGTTCGGTTAATAAGATGTTTATTAAATGGCAGACAAAAATTTATTCTTTCAATGTTACTGGTTGCACTAGCTGACATTTTGCTTTCAAACGGTGATGAACTGAACTTAAATCTGCCAAAGTTTACTCTTCCTTTTTACTCTTTTTCCTCATCAGGCTTTTTGTCAGCTTCCACTAATATTTTTAGAAGAAAATAGTCAATATTTTAGGGATGTTTTAGTTTGCAACTTTTTCACCGCAAAATGTAACCGGTCCAGATGCCGGTCTAGATGGGAAAATCTAGACCGTGGTCAATTTTGATTTCAGCCAATCAAATTTGTGAATTCTTTAGTTCCCAGTCCTTGCTAGAGACAGCCAAATAATAATAACTTCTTATTAAACTCGAACATTCGGTATTAACGGGACAATCTCAAATTGAGACCTTGCTGTATTGACCGAGTGATAGAGAGGTCCAAGCACAGCAAGGCCAAGGTTTGAGATTTTCCTGTAAACACCAAACATTCGAGGTTAATAAGTAGTTTATTATCTGGCTAATAAAAGCTGTTTGGCTGTTTTCTTCATCCTGTCCAGCACCAACTTGATCTTCATTTAACACTGTGGAATTATACACTGTTTTTTCTGAAATTATAGCTCATCTGGGTGATAGAATTTATACTTAGAGCTTTCCTCATCACTCATTGTTTTCAGCCACTACAATTTTCAGAGAAAAACCCAATGATTTTGTTATTTACTTTTTGCTTTGCCATTTAGGCCCATAAACTGCCCATGTGCATTACAGGAAAATAATGCCCTACAATTAGCCAATCAGCATGCACATTATATCGGCTGCAAACACAAGCCATATAATAAGTAACAATAACCAAGATTGCAATAATATTTGATACTGAAATAGATATTTTGTATTGATATTTATTTATGTATTGATTTACTATTCATTTGTAGCTTTTCACCTTTATATGTAGGAATGTTACCGTTAAGTGTTGTGGTCCAGCAGTGACGCTCAAAATTACTAATGAAAATGGAAGAGAATATTCTGTTGACCTGACACTTGCAATCAAATATGAGTCCTGGCCAGAAGATGCTGAGGAGTGGAGAACAAGGCATAGATATGGTATTGTTAAATTTCTTACTGAGAAGCATTGATTTTCAGAATTTAAAAAATCATGAGCGGAATAAAGTTTTAGAAATTACAAGAACAGCTACTTATGTTCCAGCATTAGTGGTGTTATGGCACAATTTTTTTTGGCAAGGTGAAAACCAGCATAATCACATTAACAGTGAGATGGGAAGTAGCTTGCTGCACCCTTATGATTTTTACAATTTTATCACTTTGTAATGAAAAATCAATCAATCAATCAATCAATTGATCAATAAATGAGTGAATGACCATTTCAGTTATAGAAATTATAGAGATTGTCATTTCAACACTAAACATCCCAGTACAATAATTAAGCCATCATCATCTATCCTTTTTCTCTTTTCAAGACCTCCACATATTTCTTCCAGCTGGTCCTGTGCTGCCTTCTTGGGCCTCACACCATGACATTAGCTTAAAACCAGTCTTTATTGTACTCCTTCCTTTTCAGATCTTGCATCCAAAACATAGTTTCTTTTGTAATGCAATTGATATAGAGAGCCGTTATACTTGGTTTTATTTTTCATGTGAAAATGTTCTGTTAAAAATTAATGGCTATTGTTTTGATCTTCTTTTTAGGTTGGCCCACGCAGTCACTTATACAAGAGATTCTTCAAGATGGTTGTCATTTGGTTGTAAAAAAGCCTAAAGAAAAAAACCTTCAAGAGGAAAAAGGATTTTATGTACGATATTCTTTCTCAGAAGCTGAAAAGAAGCTGTTTAACAAGGGTGGTCATACTTAATCTCGGCCCCTTGAATTCATACCATCTAAAAACAGTCTTGTTGTATGAGTGTGAAGCAAACCCTGATCCGTCCCAGTGGAGCCATAAAAAGCTCAGTGAACGGTTCATAGGCCTACTACAGAGGCTTGAAAATTGTTTATTTCAAAACAATTGCCCCCATTATTTCATCAAACATCTAAACTTGTTTGATAAACAATTCTCCCAC